AAACAAAACCGCACAAATCCCCTTTTCACTGCTGAAGATGAAATAGAGGAATGCGACAGACCTGAGTGACATTGTTGAGTGAGGAAATGATTCAGGAAAACACAGGGACTTGTAGACATGACACAGCTGGGAACAAGACTGCCTTTGAGCTGGGCGTGGTGACTCACGCCTGTCATCCCAGAGGCTCAGGAGGCTGAAGCAGGAGGATCGTGAGTTCAAAGCCAGCCTCAGCAACAGTGAGGCACTAAGCAACTCAGTGAGACCCTGCCTCTCAATAAAATACGAACTAGGACTGGGGATGTGGCTCAGTGGTCGAGTGCCCCTGGGTTCAATCCCCGGTACCAAAAAAAAAAGAAGACTGCCTTTGGGTAAGTCTATTCCTGAGGTTTGGGTTTCTCTTCCCACCCTCCATCTGTGTACCTGGTCTCTCCCAGCAGCCTCCAAGGCCCCCATTCCCCTCACCACACAGGCACACCCACCAGCTGGGCCTGGAGACGCAGAGGAGGGACGCAGCAACCCTCCCTTCCACGAGGGAGACAGCAGTAGTGGCCCTTAGAGTAGAAATGCTGTGATAAGAATAGGTCCCCCGTGGCTGGGGTGTAGCTCAGGGCTGGAGCGCTACCCTCGCAGGCCCAAGGCCCCGGTCCATCCCCAGCACCCACAGAACCATAGTGACACAACAGGACACGCACAGGACACTGTAGACCAGAGGAGGGCCACAGAACCAGCCTGGGCATCAGGGAGGCGATCCACAGGAGAGGGCCCTGTCACTGTGACAGGTGAGCTATGGTGAGCTAGGTAAAGAGGCGGGGACACGAAGGCCTTCCAGGAAAAAAGCCGGGCAAAGACCGGGAGCAGGAAACACATGGCGTGAAGGGCCACAAATTGTTGGGGGTTTTATTGTTGTTGTTTGGTTTTTGTTGTTTACCCTGAAACTCTGTTGTGAGGCAGACCTGGCCAGGGGAGGTGGAGAAATGACCAGGAACCATACTTTGAAGGTCCTTTCTCACCAGATAGAAGCCTTAGACTATATCCCCAGGGCACTGGAAGCCGTGCAGGTATTTTACAGGGAAGGGAGGGGCAAATAAGTCCCTTCCATCATGATCAATCTGCCATTTAAACAGCCCATATGATGATATCATAGGCCAGAGGAAACCTAGGGTAACCACCATGGCAGATTAGGTTAAGGGCATTGTGTTAGTCAGTTTTCTGTCCCTGTGACAAAATACCTGAGGTCAAACAACTTGCAAAGAGGAAAGGTTTATTTTGGCTCTTGGTTCCAGACCATGGTGGCTTGGCTCCGTTGTCTTGGGACTGTGGTGACATGGTACATCATGGCAGAAGCACATGGCAGACAGGCCTGTTCACCTCTCGGTGGCCAGAGAGCAAAAAAAAAAAGGCAGGACAGGCTGGGGTCCCAATACTAAGGGCTCCCCCGTGACCTAACTGTGTCCCATGAGACTCCACCTCCTGAGAGCGCACACTGCAAGCCCTTGGGAGAACATTCCAGAACCAGACCACAGAAGACACACACGCTCCCAACTCAGGCACAAGTCCCGCCTGGCGCTGCTTCACATTCATCTGAGTGGGGTCTGCAGATGAAGCCTCTGAACGTCCTCTGACACTCCCCATGGGAGACCTGGGCGGAGGACGGCAGGCGCCTGCGCCACCTGAGAGAACCCCCAGGTCTATGCTGATCCAAAAAGCAGTGCAGAATGGGACACGTGACACTATCAGCCTTAAAGGACAAGCGAACACACACACACACACACAGAGACACACACGTAAAACACAGAGGGAAGAAGTTGGAAGTGCTCACTCCAAAATGAAAACAGGGTCACAGCTGAAGTGGAGGAAGGAGGCTTGGAGTTGGAGGGCCAAAGGGGAACCCAGCCTCCTGGGCCCTCTTTCAAGGAAAGTGGCTTTCTCTGCAACCTGTGAACCAAATACAGTGAACTGGGGGCCCAGAGCCCTGGGCAGCGGGCAGTTGCTCACTGGTACCTCTCTTTGGCTCCATGACTTGGGAGACAGGTCTCTTCAGTTCCATTTTCTAACTCGCCCTAATTCCAACCCTGGGCTGAGGCCGCAGTTATTTTTGGCCTGTTATAATCCCTCCATGAATATCTGTAGAGCTTCTCTGCCCAGACCCCTGGCTCTCTTGGAAGCGGGTCAGAGGTCTCTCATGCAGACCTCTGTGCCCAGGTGTTGGCACTCTGAGACTCCTGGGGGGTCAGCAGGGGCCCTGAGGAGCTGCCTCCCTCCACCCTTCAACTCCTCAGAACACTCCCCTGGCTCTAGACTCAGAGCTCCCTGCAGGGAGAGCAGAGCCTTCCTCCTCGGCCTTCCCCTTAGAGGCCCAGGCCTCCCAGCACACCAGGGGCCCGGGCTGGTGCCGGGACCCAGCAGCAGCAATCGCCTGGGTCAAGGCAGGGCTGGTGGCAGACGGAGTGAGCTCTCCACTACAGCCCCACATTCCTGCTTAGTGTCTTTCTACATGTGTGACTTTTGAAATTCAACGATTACTATTCCTTTAATTAAATAATTGGTTGGTACAAACAAAAAATAGATTTCATGAGAGCAAACACTCTCTTCACGACTCGGAGGCCAGATGAGAGTCCCTGGGGCCGTGTGCGCTGGGGACAGAGTGGACGGAGCAGGCAGGTGCTGGGGATTCTGGCTGAACAAGGGGGTTCCTCCCCGGAGGGCAGGGTGCAGTCCTCGTCCACCTAACACTTAAAATGCCTCTGAGACTCGCTTGAGGATTGTCTTGAATTCAGTCTGCGTGTCCAGGCCGAGCTGAGAAGGGCAGTCATTTGGAGAGAGAATGGGAGGAAGCCGTGGCCAGCATTCTGACTTCAGAGAGGCCTCGGCACCCAGACGGGACAGACTCAGGATCCGGTCAGGCCCAGATCCAAAGCAGTGTGTGTGGGAGGTGCCCGGTGACCACAGGTCCACACCTCGGGCCCCCCAGGGCCGTTGGACGGGGGCACCAGTTCGGCTTTGCAGAAGACAACACTGGGGGCTGAGTGGGGAGAGGGACACCCGTGAGTGGTCCAGACAGGATCCAGATACACTGGAGCCAGGCTCCCACCAGCTGCTTCTTCTTCTGGATGGAGCTGCTGCAGGCACCCGGATGTCACTGCTGCTTGTGCTGTGAAGACCCTCCTGTGTCACTCCAGGTGTACAGGGAACAAGCCCACAGATCACGGAAGGTGCCCCCAGAATTTTTGAGCAAGGCAAAGCTTTCTCTGTGTGAGCCCAAGACCTCAGGTGTCTGTCACAGTGACAGATGCTGATGACAATCTCCAATGCCTATTCAGAATCCCGTGCTTCTAGGGTTCTGTGTTGTGACTCTGTTCCCACTGTCCCCAACCTCCATCAGCGATGGACCGCCTGGATGATGAGGTCCCACAGGATCTCTGCTGCCTGCACAGGATGCAGCTGTCCTCACACGGTGGTCTCGACACGTCACCCACCGCACGATGCTGACAGATACGCCCAGTGCATGACACTTGATGATGACAGGGAGCCCCTGGTTCTGGCTTATGTGCTACTCACTGTGACTTCACCATTACTACTTCTACTTACTTAAAACAAGTTCATAAAAGCTGTCGTGCTGGTGGCGGCTGACTGGGTCTTGTGTCCCCTGCAGCTCTTGGCTGCATCTTTTACTCTTGTGCTCCATTTAGTCTGTGTGAGTGTCATCGTGGTCCTGGGCTCATCAGGCTCAGAAAACCTAGGGCATGAGGGGTTACAAGAGCTCAGATCTGGATTACTCTGATAGTCACGTTTGGTGACTCTGGCAAATCTCCCTGTTCCTTGGGCTGTGACCCTGAAGCACTATACCCAGGAGCAGGAGAGGAATCATAGCAGAGCAGTTCCTGGGGACACTGCAGCTTCATGTCATCTGTGGCCCTCGTAAATCTCAAGTTCTGAGCGTGAAATAAGGTGGTTCTGGAATGCGTGTTTGCCCCGGGGTACCTGGCCAAAGCCACACAAAATCACCTCAGCTCTATGATTATTTTTGTACCTATTTTATTCTTCAAACACAATTTTCAGCACATTGTCAAAGGTAACTAGATCCATGAAAAGACAGGACACCATGAGAGAAGCCAAGCAGGAATGGCGCTCAGGAACGGCGGACATGGAATCATCAGACAGCAACAATGATGCAATTGTGCTTGCCTCATTCAGGAGCCATGCCTGAGAACTCTGTAGGAAACTGGAATCCATAAAAAGTAACTGTTGCTGGGCGCAGTGGTGTTGTGGGGCGCAGTGCGCACACCTGCAATAGCATTGGCTCAGGAGGCTGAGACAGGAGGATCATGAGTTCTCCTCACCTCGGCGCTAAGCAACTCAGTGAGACCCTATCTCTAAATAAAATACAAAATAGGGCTGGGGAGGTGACTCACCCCTGAGTTCAATCCCCAGTACCCGCCTCCAAAGTAATTGTTGCTGAGTGTGGTGGCACATGCCTATAATCCCAGAGGCTCGGGAAGCTAAGGCAAGAAGATCACAAGTTCAAAGCCAGCCTCCACAACTTAGTGAGACCTTGTCTCTAAAGAAAATCTAAAAAGGGTTGGGGGTGGGGCTCAGTGGTGGAGTGTTCCTGGGTTCAATCCCCAGTAACAAAAAAAGACGAAGGAAGAGGAGGAGGAGGAGGGGGAGGGGGAGGGGGAGGAGAAAAGATAAGAAAAAGAAGTTGTTAGTGTTCTGATCTCCTGGCCTGAAATTGATGGCGCACTGTAGTGGTTAGAGGAGAACTTACAAAAGGTGCTTTCAATAGATCTGGGACCCTGGAGCTAGTAGCAGAGGCACACTGGAGGCCTGAAAGTGTCGGCAGAGGGAGTGGTGGCTGGAACTTGGAAGGGTGGAGCCAGGTGGAGAAGGCCACCTGATAGGAACTGGGTGTCTACTGAAGGACAGAGAACCAGTAGAGTCACCAATTGCAGTGAAGCTGAGGGACACATATCAAAACTTGACTATTTTTCTCCTTCCAGTCTACTACAGGCTCTCTCCACAGGCTGAAATCAACCAGAGAATAAGAGGCCATGAGTGTCGGTCAATCTCCCAGCACACAGAGAAGGCAGGAGAAAAGAGTTGCTCTGGAGGCCTGCACAGAAGGCATCTGAGACGATGACACAGAATATCTGAAAAAGAAGCAAATTCAAATTTCAGAGCTGAAAAGTACAATAATTAAAATAAATAATTCAATGAATAAGTTTAACAATAGACTAAACATAGCCAAAGAGAGACTTAGTGAACTGGAAAATAGGTTCAAAGAAAATATGCAAAAATAAACAGAGATCAAAAGCAACACAAAATAAGAGAAATAGAGCAGAGGTAATGTTTAAAACTATGATTGGTGATAATTTTCCAGAGCATTGAAAAAATCAATTCACAAATTCTATTTGAGAAACCCACAGGTTGGAGCTTGAGGAACCTCAGTTCACACCTAAACTCATTCCATGACCCTGCAGATACAGAGAGGAGTCATGGGTGATGGAAGAATATGGGCAGTTGGAAGTTGATGGAGTTGCCAACAATTGAGTTGGGAGAGTGAGACACATTTGAGAAAGTGGAGGAATTACTTGCCAGGCCCCTTTAACTTTGAACCTCCTGACTCCTGGAATTCTCCTAGGTAGCTGGACAAGAGGCCACTTCACTGCCTCCAGACCCTCTCCCAGCCCACAGATTTGAGTCCATTCCCTTCTCTTGCTTGGAGATGGCAGTGGCCTTCTGCCTGGCCTCCCACTGCCCAGCCTTCACATTGGCCACCAATCAGCCTTCTAAAAATTGCAAATTATCCCACGAGGCTGTGCTTCCCCACTCCTCTGGTTTTTATGAAGAAGGATTTCCCCTTAATACTCTGGTGGCCCCTTGACCTCCCGCAGGTGGAGGGTGAATTCTGACTCTGAGTTAGGGACTAGGGGCTGGCTCCTCTTTGCTACTTCCTTCTGGGCAGAGGCAGGGAGCTATGTGCTGCCCTGACCTCCCACACCATGCCCCAGGGGACCTGTGCTTCTTCTGCCCCTCCTGTGTCTGTTTGGGTCCATCTGCCGAATTCTGTGGTTCACCATTAGGAAATCCCCCTCCCCCAAAGAAGTTGCTGTGTTCAGGACACAGCAGGAAAAAGAAGGCTGCATAGGGCTCCCTCCCTCCAACTCCAAGAGTGAAAGGCTCCCATGCAGCCTGATTTCAGGGCCCCTAACCACCTACAGAAGAAAGTTCAAAGTCTGGACAAGCCAGCACCCCCACTGACCTCACCATCTGGATGGACATCAGCCCAAGCTACAGCCACCCTGCCCTCCTGCCGCTGGCGTGCACCTGCATTCTCACCCAGCGCGCGGACAGCCCCTTGGAGGCTGTTTTAGGAGTCTCTCTCCCCCTCTTCACACGAGAGGAGATCCTTGTCACAGCAGCGTCTTGGAGAAGTCCACGCGGGGAAAAATGAAGCCTCCAGCCAGCAGCCTCAGGAGGGAGCCTGGATCTTCCATCGCTGGGTGCCTTCGGAATGCAGCTCCCATTAACCAGAAGCACTGGCTGAGTTGCTCCCAGATTCCCGACTCTCACACACCATGTCGCTTTTTTTTTAAATTATTATTGGTTGTTCAAAACATTACAAAGCTCTTGACATATCATGTTTCATACATTTGATTCAAGTGGGTTATGAACTCCCATTTTTACCCCCACCATGTCGCTTTTTAAGTGATAAGTGCTGGGTAACTGGTCACACGCTGGAGGGCTAACGCACCCAGCCTGTGCCCTTCCCTTCCTGCTTGGTCTTGGCTCTGATTCTCCCTCCTCCTGGAAGCCTGCCCTAGACCCATGTCCAGGACACCTAAGCTCAGCCTCTCAGTATCCTCTCCACCTTTTCCGGCAACAGTGCCCGCAGTCCACTCTAGGAACCGCTCCTCATCTGTATGCATTGGACGGGGCTGGCTCCTCTTCAGGCTGTGGGGGCTGATGGTCAGCCTAGGCCTGGCCAGTCAGTATGCTCATTCCCCTGAGGCCACCATTTAGGGCTGTGTGACCTAGGCCAGGCCCTTGACAGTCAGAGTAGGAGCCTTTGCAGGAAGAATTGGGAAAAATAAAATCTGTCTGTGGACGTTTCTGGGTAGAAAAAACGTCAGCCTGGAGCTACATTCTGCCAGCATGGGTAAAAGCCCACCTCCAGATGTAGCTGGAAGAAAAAAGATGAGCCCAAGAGAGACAGATTCCTGAGTGACCATTGAAGGATCTGGATTCAGCTACGCCTGAAACCCACATCTACTCCACTCCTCTGCTCTCCCTGTTATGGAAAGTGTGTATAGATTCGAGGTGATACCTGTCACCTTCAGCTGAGAAAGTTCAGACCAATTCATCCTCATTGCTGGAATCAGGGACCTAATTCTAGGGACCCCAGACTTTTATGCTTTCCATGAGACTGAACTTCCCACACGAAACTGCAACAGACATTGGTAACCCTGCTGCTGGTTTTTGCTTCAGAGTTCGCTCACCTCCTCCCCTAGCTCTTGAACTCAGAGCAAGGCCAGTTTCCTTCCATAGCACCTGCCCCCGAGATATGCTCAGTGAATAATTGTAGTCATTGTGGTGAACACGAGTGTCTCCTGCTTGATCGGAGACCTTAACAGAGTGAGAAGTCACACATTCAGAGACCTGATTGCTACAGACCTAAGTCACCCTCGAGTCCTCTCTGAGACAACAAAGGATTATTATTTTTAATCTCTCTTCATCAGGACCATGGCTGAGCCAGCCCCACCCATGAACCGCAAACCAGTCTCCCAACACAGAAAAACCAATCTGGCCCAGGTATTCCCCTGCCGAAGACAACTTTCAGTGACATTTGGGTGGAAAGGAGTGAGCCTGTGGATTCAGGAAACTCTGCATCGTAGGACATTCTTTTATTTTTTGATTGGTTCATTCAGCAAGCGTTTAATTGGCACCTACTATGCGCCAGGCATGACGCATGTGCACCTCATCCTCCTGACCAGCATTCCGGGCACAGTACTGGCTATGTCTGGCTGCACTGCCAACCACTCCTAGCTTAGGGGCTTAAAACAGCAAACAGGAACCCAGGCCCAGCTGAGCTGGATGCCTCCTCTGGGTCAGAACGTCTCAGAGGCTGCAGTCAGGCACGCTGTCCATGGCCACCCTGGGGCCCACTGGGGCTCAGGGATCGTCTCCAGGCTCATTTGAAGGTAGTTGTGGGGGGCTTGGAAGATCCACCGTGGGCTCACTCGGGTGGCTTCCCCAAGACAGCGCTCTGCTCCTGGGCCACTGATCCTGGAGACAGTGAGGGACAGTGTCCTGGACAGAGGTCACAGCCTTGCAACCTCCTTCTGGAAACAGCCTGCCCATGCCCCTGCCATATTCTGCTCATTAGAAGCCAGTCAGTAAGTCCAGCCTCCACTCCCAGGGATGGCGGGAGGTGGAGCCAGCATTACCCCCTTCATTTCTCGCCCAGATCCCCGGTGGTTGGCAACCTATCTGCTCATCAGCTCGAGAGTTTCCTGACTCTAAGTCCCCAAGCCAGTGGGGGGTGAGATAAAGAAAGGTAGGAAGAAAATGCCGGTAGAAAGAAATGTGACCAGTGACCCACGACCTAGTGGCTTGACATGAGCATTTCTCTTGTCATTCCATGGGTCTGGAGCCCAGAGCAGCTGGCTGGGTGGTTCTGACTCAGGGTCCCCCGGAGGCTGTGGCTAAGCTGTGGGCCCTATCACCCACGAGGCCCCTGGCAGGGTCCCAGGGCCCGGGAGCCTCGCCACGTAGACCCCCGTGACAGCCAAGCTCAGGCATGCTCAGGACAGGGTGTTGGGCTGCCTCAGAACAAAGAAGCCAAAGAGCTCCACAGGAGGCTCAGTGTCTTTTGAGACCTAGGAGTCATACCCTGTCACCTCTGTAGCATCCTGCAGGTTGGTTCACAGGTCAGCCCTCTTCAATGTGGGAAGGGCTTGGGAGTGTCAGGGGATGAGGACACTGGACGCTCTGAGGACCTCTGGCCACCACAGGACCCACAGGATTGATAGTCCTGCAGCTCAGCTCTTATGAAGTTCACTCCCCCCCAAAGATCCGCGTCCCTGCCTGCTGCCGTGACACACCACACACCGCCCCCTCCTGGCTCCACCTCCCGCCATCTCCGGGGAGCGTGGACCATCTGGGATTGACAGCTTGTTCTGCTTCTGGACCTCAAGGATCCCTGCAGAGACCTTTGTGGGTGGGCCTTCTGGTGGCCCCTGTTCTGGGGGAAGACCCGTCCCTTCAACATGCATTGCTGTGACCCCTCCACAACAGGCTCCGGTTGGATGCTGGGCTACGATGGCCAGCAAACAGACCCTGCCTCCCTCTGCAGCGTCCACTCAAGGTGGGGAGGTAGGTACTAACCAGTTAGTAACAATCTAATCACACATTGTGCCAAGTTCTCCCAGGGAAACCCTTGGCACTCCACGGTTGTGTAACGGGGGACTGGCCTGTTTCACACGTAGTAATTGAGCAGTCAGGTAATCAACTGGGCTGGAAGGCTGTGAGCACTGGGTTCAGGCATGAGGGTCCAAAACCCCAAAGCAACAGGGGCTTAAACAGGGAGATTCTCACTTCTCTCTTGTGTAAAACCCTGGGTAGGTATCTGAGGACAGGGATGGCACCCAGCTTCTGTTGCCCTGTGACACCCAAGTACCTTGTCTGTGGTCCACATTTGGAAAAGGGAGGACACAAGGTCAAATGTCACCTGCACAGAATGTCCCTCTACACAGGGCCAGCTGTCCTCTGCACTGAGCCACTGCTTAGGCACTTGTCCCATAGGCTGAGCTGCAAAGGCCCTCTCATCCCTATGAGGATGGATTGAAGACAGTGACCCATCCGCTCTCACTGGTCACCTTAGGATACCTGATTAGAATGGTGCCCAGTTTCCTCCACGGTTACTTCAGAAAACCTAAGTACAACACTGTGCACTTTGGTTATTCTAGAGGCTTAACCTATGGTGGGAGTCCTGGGCAGTGAGTCCTGGGTGGTGGGCTCCTGGTAAACAGGGACATGGCAACTCACCTCCCTGTCTCCCTCCTGCAGCACTTTTCTTGTACCCTGCTCCACCGCCTTGGTGTCCCTGACTGCCACCTAACAGCCCAGCTCTTGGGGCACCAGCCCCCACCTCCCACCTGGATTTTTCTCATGGTACCACCATCTGGAGGAAGGGCCAGCGCCAGAACGAGCTTCCATGGCCGGCCTGTGTCTGTCCCACTGCCATCCCCTCAGCCCCACAATCACTCTGCCCTTCTGTGACAATGTGCATTGCCACCTTAGGCCAAGCCACTGAGCTGACCTTCTGCCTCTGGCAGCCCTGCAAGTCCTGGATGGCCTGGCACTCTGCAAATACCCGGTGGGGCAATGAGAAGCGGAAGACGACCTGGCCAACCGCCTAGCTTGGGGAGGAGCCAGCCTCCCAAATGTTCTCACTTGATCCCCAAGAAACCCCACCTCCCGGTGAACAGGTGTCATCAGCTGCTTTGTGCAGATGTGGAAGGGGAGATCAGAGACAGTGATTTTCCCAGAGAGGCACAGCAGGGTAGGCAGTGGGTCCACTTTACCCATCTCAGACATCCTGCCTTCCTCTAATACCAGGCCCTCACTTGGAGCTGGGCACTTGTACGGACCAAACGGGGACCTTCCCATTTAATTCACAGCTCAAAGAAGTTGTTTTGCAAATGCAAAGATCAGGGCCCCGGAGGGGCAGAGCCATTTGCCGCAGGCCACCTGGAGGAACGAGGAGGAAGAAACAGCGGAGGCTCTAAGGGACGGGTGCGGGATTCCCGGGGCTCCCCTCCGCCGGGGACCTCGATCTCCGCCCCGCCTGCAGCCACGGCCAGGCTCACCGAGCGGAAGGGGCGGCGGCGGCGGCGGTGGCCAATGGGCTGCGCGGAGCGTCACTTCCCGCGGCGGCAGCGGCGGCGGGGGCGGGGCGCCGGCGGGGGCGGGGCGGCCAGGAGGCGGCGGCACGGGCTGGACCCACGCGGCGCGCGGCCCGCCCGGCCTGCAGCGCTCCCTCCCCGGCGGCGGCGGCACGATGCCCTTTGACTTCAGGAGGTGAGTGGGGCGGCCCGGCCCCTGGGACACCCCCCGGGACCCTCCGCGGCGCTCGGCAGCCGCGCACGTTCCCGCCCTGCGCTCCAAAGCAGCCCCCGCGCGGTGCACGCCTTGGCAGGCCCTGGGACCCCCGCCCTGCAGCGAACCGGCCGGAGGCGCGGAGGGCCCGCGGGCAGCCCGCCGGCCCACCCTCCCGCCGACCGCAGAGCCCCTTCCCCAGCCGCCCGCACCCCTTGCATTCCCTCCCCCAACCCCCAGATGGGAACCCGCGAGCATCCCCTCCTCCCTCTCCCGGCCTCCTTTAGTGGACCCCACCCTAGGTGACAGGTGGGGCCAGGGCACCTCGCGTGGGCCCCTGGGATCCGCAGCGGCTTGCAGCCTCAGCCAGCCCCGCAGCAGCGGGAGAGGGCTGGATTTCCAGAGCCTGAGGCACCCCCAGGCAGGGCAGATCAGGAGGCCTGTCCAGATGAAGGCCTGTCCCCACCCCCACCCCGTCCACCCCCACCCCGTCCCCAGCCCAGTCCCTGTGCTCCGGGGCTGGGGGCACTACGGGAAG